TTGTGGTTTGCAGCCTGATTCGTAACCACTATGCTACCAGAGCTCCTTTGGGAGTAGTCTTGCCCTTATCTGCTCTTCAGTGTGGACATTCTTGCTTTATCTTATTATTTTTGTAGAGTTTGGTCCGTGAGACTGGTCCCTGCCCTCTCAACAGATGTCCACCCCCAGTGCCTAACCTGGGGCCTTGACCAGAATCTGTAGATGCTTAGGAAAGACTTGTTAAATTAGTGCTTAACTGACAGTATCTTTTAGTTGACTGCTGGTTCAGTAAGCAGACACCTTCATTAGAATTTCACACACTGTTTCCTTGGTGAACTTCTTGCCCCCTTCAGTCCCTGTGTGCCATCCCAGCCCCTGACACTGCAGAGCGCCCTCTCCAGGCAGTGCAGCAGCTGGGATTCATGAGATGTTAGAGGTAGTTAGGCAAAGGTATTGAGTCAATATAAGTGATGGTGGTGTTGTTATTTGTTAAAATTATGTTCTTTGAGTCCTGTGTTGCGCAATGAGCTATATAAACCTGAAAGAGTTCAGGAATTAAATATTGGATGATTATAAAGCACTTTGCAAGTCTGTCATGCTGGGGGGTTGGGGAGTGGATCCAGCCATACAACATGCTGAATTGGAATAGGCTGGGAAGACGGCTTACAGGATTTTGTGTGTTCATGTTTTACGTATGGGTGTGTTCTCTTGCCTCCTCCAGACAATTCTCTAATTGAGCTGCTGAGATCCGAGGCTTGTGACGTTCAGAATAAAACCTAACAATACTTGTGTGGGGTTTAAATGGCATTGGAAATCATTAACGAGACAAAAAAGCTATGATTTCCCTAGATTAGCATGCAGGTTGGGGTTTGGCATGCCGAAATTCATTGTTTTGGTCTCTAGCCCAAACATGCTAGAGTCATTATATTGTCATGTGGTAATTAGCTGTTCCTTTAATGCAAGTAATAAAAATTAAGCCTAAGAGGTACTTTAGCAATGCCTTTTACATATCCCAAAACAATATTCAAATGCTGTAGGCGGTTAGTCATTCAACTGTACTGTAGTAAAGTTTCAAGTTTAATGCATAGAGATGTTTGAACATTCTGTTCATTCTTGATTCTGTGACCAGTTTTGCTACTTAGGCATTAACCTTTAATACTGTGAAATTAAATATAAATGCCATAATGAATAATTATGAGATTGTCAGAATTTTCATTTACAATATAATGCTTTGTGAAGGTTGAAAATTTGTCTAAAGGTCTAGTCACTATTCACTTGATAATACGCATGTTATTTTGTGTGTGTGTATGGTGTGTGTGTGTGTGTTAAGTGCTGTCAAGAAAGTTTCGACTCATAGCAACCCTGTGTAGGGTTTCCGAGGAGCAGCTGTCAAGTTTGAACCACCGACTTTACAGTTCAAACTGACCTTGCAGTCCAGTGCTTAACCTCCAACTCCACACCAGGACTCCTTATCTGTGTTGTTATTAAGTGCCATCCAGTCAGTTCCAACTCATAGGGACCCGGGATTGGGTTTACAAGGAGCCACTGGTGGATTTGAACCACCAACCTTGTGGTTCAAACTGACCTTGCAGTCCAGTGTATAATCCTGCAGCACTCGACCAATATAGATATTCCTATATATTTGTAGGGAAGGAGCTCTAGTAGCATAGTGGTTACAAGTCAGGCTGCTAGTCTCAAGATCAGCAGTTCGAAACTACCAGCCGTTAGTCTTTCTGCTCCACAGTCCCAGAAACCCTATTAAGGGTCGCTATGAGTCAGAAACAACCACCACCATACCTAGAGGGGGGATGTCCTGGTGGGGCGCAGCAGGTTAATACAGTGGGCTGCAAGTTTGGCTTAAAGCTCAAGATCGGTGGTTCTAGCTCACCAGCTATTCCTCGAAACCCTATACAGGGTCTCTACGAGTTGGCACCACCAGCTCGGCAGCCCTTAAGAACAGCAGCAGTAACGTGGTGGTGGGGTGCTGGGGAGTCACTTCTGACTCCTAGCGGCTCTGCATAGAGTTTCCGAGGCTGCACATATTTATGGGAGCAGGAAGCCTCATCTTTCTCATCCTTGCCACTCCATCCGTGACCTCTGCATTGAATTCAGATTTCAGTTCGGGGTGGGGGTGGCTATGCCCCCAGGCCATTTTCCAGCATGCACCCACAGGAAGTGCATTCCGACTCATAGCGTCCATCCCTATAGGACAGGGTAGAACTGCCCCTCAGAGTTTCCCAGACTAGAAGTCATTACAAAAGCAGACAGCCTCATCTTTGTTCCGCAGAACGGCTGGTAGGTTTGAACTGCCAACCCTGCAGTTCGTAGCCCAGCACTTAGCATGGTACACCACCCCAGATCCTCTTCATGTGGGGGGAAGAAGGAAATGCTCTGAGAAAATACTGAAATTTGAAAAATAAAACACCAACCCTGTACCTGGCTTGTTGTGAGGAGTTCCATTTTTAGTCTCCTTAGCCTTAGGCCTCCTCACAAGGAGTCATTGTCCCAAATCACCTTTCTAATCAAACTTAGCATCAGTATCTCCATGCAGATTAAAGAAATGATGAAAAGCCACAAGTGAGAAAGCAACGCAGGCAGAGTCTGCTTACCCGCAGAATGAATGCCCAGCAGCCAGGGTTTTGCATGATGGACAGTGTTGGTGTTGAACCCTGGCACACAGAAGCTGCTGACACTGTCCTGTGTTGGACACATCCCAGGGCCGCCTTTTGTAAACTCTGACAATACGCTGGCATGACAAAGAGTTCTTGACCCGTGGTTAGCACGTTGACTAAGGCCTGGTTAGATCTAGCCCTCCTTTCCAGGAACCAAGGGTGGTCTGAAAAATTAATGGCTCTGGTATTTGAAAATTAAGCGAGCGCTTGAATATACACCCTTGTTGATCCTCTGTGCTTGGTGTTTAGCATTCCTCAGGGGGAGACTAAATCTTGCAGCCATTCCACAAGTGATGCTGGCGCCCATACCAGAAGTCTATTCAGTAATGCTCATGGACTAGAGTGTTCTTCTCCTCCTATGGAACTTGAGAATTCCTGAGGAAATACACTACTCATGCCCAGTTGGTGGACGATAATTCCTTTTAGGTTGTTGTTGTTGTTGTTATGTGCCGTGGAGTCCAGTCCGACTCATGGCAACCCTGTACAGAGCTTTCAAGGCTATAAATCTTTACGGGAGCAGAAAGCTTCATCTGTCTCTTGCAGAGCAACTGGTGAACTCCAGCTGTTGGCCGTGTGGTTCACAGTCCAGTGCTTACCCTATAGAGCCATCATGCTCCCTTTTGGGTGGTGGTAGTTGTTGTGAAGTGTCATCGAGTCAATTCCGACCCATAGCGACCCTGTATAGGGTTTCCAAGGAGCAGCTGGTGAGCTTGAACCACTGACCTTGCAGTTCAAACGGCTTTGCAGTCTGTGGTGCATTAGCCCACAGCGCCACACCAAAGACTGATTTAGTATTGAGGAGCCCTGGTGCGCTGCATTGATGTTAGAAAAAAATTTAACGGCACTCCATTTTGTGCCAAATTCCTGGTAAATACAAAGCACTTGGTATTTTTACCTTTTAAGTCCAGGACCCTAGATTACAAATAAGTCCATTCCTAAATCTGTCTTTAAGTCAGATTTGTTGTACATCGTAACAGGTATGGCTTGTGTGTAATGTAAGTTAGTTTAGTAGACAGTATGTAGTACTCCCTTAGGGGTAAAAAACATAAAAGAAACACTTCCAGATACACCCAGAACTTTTTTGCCATAATACTACAATAATAATGATAATGTTTTGTTGTGTTTTGCAAAATAGCAGCCATTTGTGATTATGAACCATAGTATGTACCTCATATTTTTAATATAATAGGCTTGACGGGGTGAGGGAGTGGTTCATAACTATAGGATGTTCATAAATCAGGCGTTCGTAACCCTGAGTCTGCCTGGCTAGTACATTGCATGGCTGCCATCTCTAAGTTCAGGTTAAAGCCCAGTTTCCCATAATTGAGTCTAATGATACCACACTAACATGTCCCCAAGACCTCACGTAACCGGCCCACAAGCAGTCCTGCTCATGTGGTCCAGTCTGTACTAGAGCCTCAAATGTAGTCGGCCGAAGCAGCCACCACCAGCTGTGTGTGCTTCCTAGGGAAGACAGAGCCCTGGGCTCTCCGGGTTTCACCCCTGCCTCCTCCTCCTCAACATTGTTCATTACTAAAGGAGGTTTGTGATGAAAAGGGGGATCGCATTCCTTAATGGGTGGCTTCTTATTAAAGCCCAAGGGTTTATTTCCTCCGCTCCACCAAGGAGCCTTCTTTGGTATAAAGGTTGGCCATTTGGAGCGAATCTACTCCGATATACATTCTCTCTGCCTGCTAACTAGTCCAGTCATCTTGGAAAAGTCATGCCGCCTCTCCAAGCTTTAGTTTCTGTCTGAATAAGTGCATGTCATACCCATTTGACATTCCTTTCCCAGAATTGTTGTGAAGTTCAAAGGAGGAAATATTGGTGAAATGGGTAGGTGACCAGTGAGACACTCTCCAAGTTCGTTCAGGTGCTGCTCCCACCTCCGTGGAAGTCACTGGAAGCTTTTATCTCTGCACGTCATTCTCCAATGGCGGCTCTAAATGGGTGCTTGGTTTTCCTCAGGCTCCTTCCCTTGCCACCACCAGATGTTTTCTGTTCTTATCAGATCAAAGACTAAGAAATCATTAAAGGTTTATCACCATGCCAGAGCAGTTGGCAAATACCCGTGAATTCCCACAGCCTTTCTCATCCTGTCTGGATGCTTTGAGGATACCTGGTTCGTGCTTTGGTGTGTGTTCACATCCTGTGTAGGGCAACAGAAAAGTGCCCCCTCCATCCAGGGGTTCCTGGGGGCTCTGCTATGGGAGGTGAGGAGACCCCGGCTCCAGGAGGGGAGCTTTCTGGGGGCCAGAGAGCTGACTTCCTGGGTGCCCCAAGAGACCAGGCCTGCCGTGCACATCGGTGTTAAAGTTGCCCGTTGGCATGTCTTCTCTTGCTGTGCAGATCCGGTGCCAGCTCTGGACCTCGGACAGCAGCTCCAGCTCAAAGTCCAGCGCATGCATGATATTGAAACAGAGAATCTGAAGCTTAGGGAAACTCTGGAAGAATACAACAAGGAATTTGCTGAAGTGAAAAATCAAGGTTGGTGGAAAATGCATCCTTTGCTCTTTTCTTTCTTTCCTGTTTTAATTGCCTTTCCCATACTGTTGGGACTAGCTCTAACTGTGATCAGCGTCATAAAGTCAGGGTGGGGCAGGAATCATAACAGTCGTTAAAGACGGGTAATAATAATGTGGTGCCATTTCCAAGTCAGACTTCCCCCCAGCACAGTGATGACCCAGGATTTTATTGCCCTCTGACGGGACTGATGGGGCTAGCTTGAAATACTTCCTGTGTCATCATGTGATAGGATCTGCCTTTTAACAGACTGATGCATTGCCTTCGGGCGACACCTGTCAGAGAGCCAGCTCAGGATCAAAGGGTCACATACAGTAAACCGCTTAATCACCGCTGCAGATACATGAAGGCTCAGGACGCATCCTGACAGTCTCATGCTTACGCACTGCAATTTCCTTGTCAGAGTCGCCTTGTCATTACTCACTTAATGAAAGAAAAGAGCCGCACAGCATGGCTGCCCAGCCATCCCCAAGGCAGACAGGGTGCCTGACTTCCTGTCAGGGAGGAAAACACAAACCTCCCTGCACCTAAAAGCCAAAAGTATTCAGAACCAGCGAGGATCCAGGCTCCTCCACTTACAGAAACTGCTCAGCCCATCAGAGCTTCTCTGCCAGCTCCAGGAAACACTGTGCCTGTCAACTTGAGTGTGTTTCGGGGTGTGGGTGTGGACAGAGCTACCAAGGGGAAAGCGAGCGCAACTCTTACATAGGCTGCCTCTACTAAGACTAATAGTTGACCTCAGAGATCTGGAAAAGTCTTGCTGGGCTCTGAGGACGCTGCAGGCAGACTTAGGAGGAGGCAGGACTGTCCATGGAAGGAATCCAGAAAGAGACTGTGATGTGCCCCAGAGCCCAGTCTGTGGGCTGGCACCCCCGGGCCCTTTCCTCAGGGTTTCCAGTCTGAGGTGGCACCTCACAGGACCCTTGCTCAGGGTTTCCAGTCTGAGGTGACACCTCCAGGACCCTTCCTCAGGGTTTCCAGTCTGAGGTGACACCTCCAGGACCCTTCCTCAGGGTTTCCCATCTGTGGGGCTGCACCCCAGGACTTGTCCTCGGGGTCTCAGAGCACTTTCCTTCACAGGCCAGCAGCGCCTCCTTGCTGAAGTTGGGGGTGTGGAATTGACGGGAAATTAGGGGAGCTGGAGTCAGCCCTGTCCTTTGGGTCCACTGTGCCTTGGGACCAGAAGGGGCTGTCTGGCCCTCCTGGAAAGTGGGGTGCTGGCCTTCCCCAGCTGGGCCAGTCTCAGAGGAGAGACTGGGAGTTGTATCTAGTCAGAGTGGCTCTGATGAGAGAGAAGACAGCATGAGTGTGCGCCAGCTCCCGAGATACTCTCCCGAGATCCACGAAGGCCATGGTGTTGTGACGCTATGTCGGTGGGTCCCAGTCCTGGTTTTCTTGCTTTGTTGGAAAGAGGTGCTGGAAGCGCCTGATGGGCTGGGTACTCCCTCTGGGGCTGTCCTCTCCAAAGGCCTCCTGATGGACGCCTTGAATGGCGTGAGTAGCCCAGGACTTGGGCTCCGGAGGTCAACAGCTCTGCTGGGATCCCCTGTGCTGGCACTCTGTAGCTGTGCACCTTGGGAGGGAGAGCTTTGTCCCTGCGTTAACAGGGTGGCTCGTGGCCATCGCAGCAGCAGGCAGGGTTCAGTCCACGCTTCTGCGGGTAAAGGCCTGGCAGGCTGTGCTGACACTGGAGCCTGGAGCCTCCTTGGCATAGGCCCTGTCTGGGCAGCACCCTGATCTGCCTGATCCCACGCCTGCGTTCACTCAGGCCTCGGCCTGGTCCTGTGCTGGGCCCTGGGAACACCGGGAAGCTCACTCTGATTTGTCAGCAGCAGGCATGTTCCCCGCTGGAGCTGGAATCACAGTGCTCCTACCTCAGATTGTCTGGGGTGTATGTAGAAAGGAAGTGGTCCTGCTCCACAGCCAGCCCCTGGGTCTGAGCCAGGACCCTGCTCTATTCGTCTGTGTCTGCTTTGTCCTTCCATTTGGGGGTTTTAAGTAAAGCCTGAGAACATGCCATTGGTGGGAGAGAGATGGTGCCACCACCAAGGCGAGGCTAGGTCTGGCTGTGCAGGGCCCTTTGTCCGGGACTAGCTGAGCCACAGGGCTGCTCTGCTGTATGATGTAGCTGCCCCTGCCCCGGCTCGCATGTGCCATGCTGACGAGCAGGGCATCTTGCTGGCTATGGTTCGCCCCATCCCCCTGCAGCCTTTTCCCTGGCCTCCAGTCTCTGCCCTGGGTGGAGGCTGGGTGGACCCTACTAGCTGGCAGGTGAGGAGATGCTCTCTTTGTCCATTTAGCAATTTGTGGTTTTCATCACTTGTGAAGCCACAGAGCTGCAGCCCATGGGCAGAGACGTCTGGAGACATCACCCAACTTGGGCTAAGCCTGCTTCTTCCAAAATATACATCCCATTATGAACTGTTTTCTTAGTAGGAAAATACTTAAACCCACACTAAAACTTTATTAATCTTCCCTCAGTGAGGGACTAATTTAAGACTCATCAATAAGATGATATTATATTTGGCCATTGATTTTTTTTCCCACCTCTTTTTTTTGATAAAGTCAGCTTAGAGAAACCATAGCTCTTCTTCCCAGCAAAATCCATTGATCCTTCTCAACCTAAACGTTTAAAGTTCAATTTAATGTTTAGGGAGTAAAAGGTCTCCAAAGGGACTCGTAACCATTGATTTCGTGTCAGACTTGAAGAGCTAAAGTTTAAAACATACCAGTCCTCCTAGGTTACGAAGCCTTGTCTAGATAGCCATATGCAATTGTACTTCTTAGTGTACTTTTTCTTTTTCCTACAGAGGTTACGATAAAAGCACTTAAAGAGAAAATCCGAGAATATGAACAGACTCTGAAGAACCAAGCAGAGACTATAGCTCTTGAAAAGGAACAGAAGTTACAAAATGACTTTGCAGAGAAGGAGAGGTGAGTGTGTGGTGTGGTGTGTACCTCCTGGCCCAGTGTCACATGACCAGGCAATCTTAAAACCAGGGCCGTGGAGTAAACCCAGGCGGCAAGCAAAGTCAGAGGCAAAATGTGGTTTGCGGGGAAAATACATAAATAAATAAGCCAGTCAACTGTGAAGTCGATCCCAGTCCTGGTGAGTCGAACTATACCCCAGAAAGTCCCAGTGGATGGTTTTTTTGGAAAGTAGATCACCCATCCTTTCTTCTAAGGTGCCTCTGGGTGGAATTTAACCTCCAACCACCCAGAGATTCCTGGAAAACTAAAGGTGTCTCTGTAGTTTTAATTGGTAGGATTCCCTTGAGTGACAGCCCATTGTCCTCATTGGCAGGCAGCATCAGAGTGTTTGTCAGGACCTCGGGGTTGAGAGGTAGAACACAGGGCTTTTGTAAGTGACACCGAGATGAGAGGAGGAAAGGAAAATGTTCTCTAGAGAAGTCCTGGGGTGCATACTGGACCCCTTCTTCTGCCTTCTAAAGAACACCACACACAGGTGTACAGGTGTGGGTGTGTGTAAAACTTGGAAGGTGGTTTGGTTTGGTTTGGGGTTTTTTGCCTCTTTTCTTTCCTACACTGTGCTTTGTCTATCAAGGAATTGATATTTGCAAAATATGTCGATGTACCGCCCACACGGAGCTGCGTTTTAGATTGTTAATGGTTCACATTACCCAAAATATTTTTATATGCAAAATGAAAACATCATGAATGGTTTGGCATTAGTGTGGCAATTTAATTAAAGTTTGACAGTTACAGTTTCAAGAAAGTTGTTTAAATTGTGTAAGTCACATTTAAAAAAAACAACTCATGGTTAAGATTTTATATTTTAAGCCTAACAGGAAGAATTGCACACATCCCTTTAACAAGAGGCACTGATTTGTGGTTACAAGGGAGGAGGGAGCAAGTCTGACCTTGTCCTTAGGCTTTGTTGTGCTGGTTCTATTGACTTTATCGGTAGCTACTTGGGATTCTACAAGGTGGGCCCCATAAAGATCTCAGGTGTTACGTACACCTTTCAGGAGCACTGTTAAACTGACTCCGTTTCATTAAAATTTCAAAAAAGAATTAACCTGCCAGTTACTATTTACGGAGTACTTGTTCTCAATCAGAACTTTGCTGCTACGAACCTTACCTCACAGACTTCCCATGGCAAGTCTGCGGAGTATACTGACCATTGAACTGATGGAGAAATGGGCCCTGCCTTTCGCAGCTACTCAGGGCCAAAGGTGGGGGTGTATGAGTCCAGACCAGAGCCTCACCTGCCCCGACACCCCTTGCCTCTTCTCATACAGTAGACAAAGCAATTGCAGTGGGGTAAAGAACCCAGTGTCGAAGGAAGTGAGCTCAGAAACTCAGGCAGACTCCTTGACCCAGGAGGTGGGGACTCAGTCCTACATAAATGCTTCAGACAAATACTTCATGCCCTGAGGTTTTTCACTGTGTTACTAATAATGCAGGAACACGTGAGCTATTTAAATGCCCAACCAATGAGAAATGGGCACGTAAAAGACAAGCTGTCCCCTAACTGGAACTTATGCAGCCATTAAAATAAGAGCTCACATAGTGTTTGCCATAACATGAAAAATGTATGCCACATAAGATTAAGTGGGAAATACCTCGTTCAGAATTACATGGTATGTCATGGTGTCTTTTTAGAGTAAACTCGTGTATTGCCATAGTCTGGAAATAGAGTCATGAGAATGTAATATATTATAAAATCAACTTCTCAGCGTAGGTAAGAGGATTCATTCATATTAAAAATATGAATAACTGGCTATTTGTGGGGAAGGTTCACAATAAAGCTAGATCATTCTCTGCACCAAAAACTTGAGATGGATTTGAGCTTTAAATATTAATAATTAAATTGGATACATACTGGAAGGAAACTTGGGCAATAACATAGAGCAGGGAAATCTTTCTTAGCAAAAAAA